GTAGAGGTACGGGTTAGGGTTAGGATAGGAGATGCTCTTTGAAGAGGGGGGTCTTCAAGAGTTTCTTGAAGACAGACAGGGACGCTGCTGTTCTTGTAGCTTGGTAGGTGGTTCCACAATCTTGGAACAACACCTGAAACAGTCTGGATGGTCTTAACGTGGTGAAGGCTCTGCTAGACCACAGTCCATTGATGACCGGGGTGATCGAGTTGTGACATACGTTAACCCCCCCCCCCCCAAACACACCGGGGAGAGGGGGGGGGCAAAAATAACCCAATAACCCGGCGGGGTCAGCACCTCGTTCCTCAGTGTTTCCAGCTCGCGGTCTTTGTCTGAGATCAGGGCTCCGGTGGATTTCTGGGAGCCCCCCTCCGGGTCCTGATTGCAGATGTTTTCTCTGGAGGAAAAGATGATGCATACTTTAAAACCAGTTTAAACCGGAGGTCACATTTAGTCGTTTCTCGGTCTGTTTGGTTAGAAGCAGCTTCCTGCTGGCCTGCCTTTGCTTTCCTTTGGCACCGTTACCAGGATTTACATTTGGCCACGCTCGTCCTGCCCCTGATATTCCGGTTCAAGCCGGTCAGCCCATTTCATCTGATTAAATCAATCTTGTTTCTCTTATTTCCTAAATTAAAACAAACACTAAAGCTGCCCTCTCTGGGACATTCACCACTCCCCTCTCAGGTCTATCGGCTCTAACCTTCATCCTGGTACGTTAACATTAGTTGTCACCTCCCTTTGAGAATAAACCATAAACCAACAATCAGATTGTTCAGATATAAGTCAGCTCTTTGAGAAACAACAGGTCCAATCACTAAAATATTCCATAAACTTTGACTTTTTTAAAAATTCAAAATATTCCCAAAACGGTGACTTTTGTCTATAAACTGTAAACCGGTTACAGAGTAATCTGCAAACAGTCTGCAGACTCCAAATCTGCGGCCACAACCACAGACGACTGTTCATTCAAAGTGAAATGAGTTTAATGCTCCCATAAAACTGTTTTAAACAGGCACCCAGTGAGGCTGGCTGTTAAAAAACGTTGTTGAGGGTTCGGTTTAAAATCAGCCGGCTCTTACCTGCTCCTCATGTCTGTGCCGCGGCGCTCCTCGTTGCTCTGCGGGTTGAACACACACAAATATAGAGGCGTTTAAATTCAGGCTAAAGCCGTCTGAGCCAGGAGAGTTTAGTCCCAGCGGGGGGTCAGACCTCCCCGGGTTCCAAACCCACTTATCACATCAGCGCAGCCCGATCTTTAACAGGATTAAGCTAACCCATTACATAAGTTCAGGGAGGCCAGTACCTCGTCCACATGCTGAGACTTCTGGGAGGCCAGCTTCAACTCCTCACTGAGAAAAAGAGAGATGAAAGACAGTCAGGTCTCTGGTTTCTGTGTTACCCCCTGATGCCTCCATCGGTTCACATCTAATAAACGACCATACGGGATGAGAGCTTTCTCATCCACAGCTTAAACGTCCTGGTACATGTGCTGATTGTTGGAGGTAAGAGCTTTTCTGATGTCACCACCGAATCCATCATCTCTCTATCAGGGACATTATCCACAATGTTATTTTGCATGTTAACCTGCATTGGAACACAGTTCAATCTCTCGATAAAGATGAGACCAATTTAAGTGGTGCATTTATGTATAAAAGAACATGTTGAAATATTTAGTTTGGAAGGAAATGGGTGAGATTAGACAAAAATAGGACATGATCTTGAACTGCCTTAAATGTTCAGGAAGGAGCGGGGAGAAGGACCCTGGGAGCAGATAGAGGGAAAGCTAATGTTCAGAGGAGGGTGATTAATGAACGGGGAGCAGCTGAGACAATAAACCAGTAATGAGAAAGGCACAGAGGACCGGAGAGGGAGAACACAGCGGAGGCTGAGTCAGAGCAGGGAAGGTCGGAAGACAGAAACAAGAATAATCAGCTGAGAATAAACACAAGAAAACATAGAAGGCCAATCCCCCCAAAACGGTGTGAACCCCAGAAACACGAAGCTAAAGCCCAGAACTGATGACATCGTCGTCATTTCGTCGTCATGTTTGTGGAGTTTAGCCTGAACCGACTGTGTTTTCCGGTGCGTTTGGGAGTCGTGGTATTTCTGGATGCGGGAACAAAAAGGATTTTCTGGGGAAATCGAACTCAGCTCCATGCGTGTCGTTCTCAGGATTCGTGTCAAAGGAAGTCGTCTGGAGCTGGGGGTGACTAATAACCCGGTTCGAAGGCCATCTGTGTGAAATCTGGGGCCGCCTGCTGTGTAACCACATCCATCACGCCTTTGTGCCGACCTCAGCTGGACACCAACACATGCATGTAAACACACCAGCTTCTGTTCAGAGCTGCATGTGAGATGTCTGTACAGACATCTGGAAAAGGAAAAGAGCTTCGTCTCCTGCTCTGCTTTGGAGGCTTTTGGGAGCCCATTTGTGCACTTAAGCAGACTTCTAGCATGCATAGTGCACCAGAACCTCACCATTAAAAAAAGAAAACACTGCTGAGCTGAGGGAATATAAATCGAACCTGGAAAAACCTTCAGAACAGAAGCACAGAGGTGATCAGATTCTACAAAAGCAGCCCGACAGAAGCTGTTTTAAATGTCCAAATTCAAAGGAAAAGAGGCTCCGGTGCTTTCTTATTCATCCAGCTGATCATCCTCTATGAGACCAAAGAGACAACTCTGCCCACAGTTTTTTAAAGAGGCGTCTATTATTATTAAAAGGTGTCTTTTATTCTTCTGCTGTCTCATCTGTGATTGGATGGAAACGAGGACACGGTGGCGCTTGAAGAGCAGCCTGTGAAACCAATAAATGGAAGTTTTTTAAATTATTCTTCTCTAATTATAAACCATGAGAATAAAGTAATACTCACATCCTCCAAATCTGTTTTACTGCACGTGGCATTTAAAGCAGTTTGTTTGAGTATTTATCAAACTTTAAACATTTCTCAGAGTCCCTGTTTGTTTTTAATGTGAAAATGAATTATTTCTTGGGACCAAAACTGATCAGAAATCTTTTGATGTCACTGTAAATGAGTTCAGCTCCACTCTGACAATTCTTATAATAATAACAGCTAAACGTAGTGTGTTTTTACATCAGAAATATCCGAAAATTTAGCTGCGAATGACTTTTTCTCAAAGCCACATGACAATTTTTCTGCACATGTGAAGATTGAACATCAAATATTTAGGTAATAATGTTCAGTTCTAACAGACGAACCAGAGTGTGAGCTACTGCAGCCCCATCAAACACAAAGCCAGATGTGAGCTTCCAGCTGCCGTCTTTTAGCACAAAGCCAAACTGTTCCAGGACAAGCAACAACGACCCGGTGATGTCACAGCCGGGGAAGCGGAGCCAGGCGGTCCGAGGAGGAGAGGGCCGGTTGCATAACGGCAGCACAGAGAGGAAGAGGACGCGCCTCGGAGAGGATGGAGGAACACATTGTTGGGAGGAGGCAGGATGGAGGAGGGAGGGAGGGAGGGGGGGGAACGTGACCTCACACAGCTCCCGCTCCGAGATGTTTAAATTATTTAGACGTACAGAAAGCAGCAAACAGCATGACGCCGCTTTCTTCTCAGATTGTTTGTTGAGGTTTTCGTGTCTCCGTCTGCTCCTCCAGCAGGAAGCTCCACATCCATGACTGTAATTCAGTCAAACCCATTTGGAGCTCCGACGTCACAGCTCTGATGACTCGGGGGTTGGGGGGGGCGATGATGCAAAGACTCACAATACACATGTTCACACACGCACACACCCATAGAGGCACATGACTGCTTCATGAGGGCTATAAATAGACCTCGCCATTCACCAGAGCACCACACAGACGACACGAGGTAAAAATATTCAGCTAACAGATGGAACGATTCAGAGCTGTGAGACACTTTAAGTTTCTCACATTAATTCACTTTGATCATCCATGTTTGAGTCTAAACATGCAGCATAAAAGCTCTTTGCAGGTTGGCAATAATAAGGGAAAACACTATGAACTTCTTATGGTCTTCAGTAGAGATAAAAGTTTCAATTTGGAGGAAAAGGACACAGATAGGGCCTATTTACTTTGTTTCATCAGGAGATCAACAACGTGGTTATGCAAAGTTCTGGGATATTTTTACTTTAATCTCAGCAAATTGGATGCAGTTAAACAGTTATGTAATCCATCATGTCCACTCTGGATGAATCTGTACCTCATCGGTTATCTGGAAACTGCTCACGTGGTTTCTGTGTCGCCGGATGATAAATTTAGGCCTTTTAAGAGCACTCTGACCACACCTTTGTTTTTCGAGGTGGAAACAAACCATAAAATCTGTAAGTGAAACTCTACACTGGGGTCTATGAGCGGCTTTTGAAACCATTCAGCTCTGAGACAATACTGACTCAGTTTGTTGTTTTTGGAGGGCTAAAACCTGCAGAATTTACAGCTTTCATGGCGAGTAAAAGCATCCCTGCTCAGGATTTTAAATCTTTTTCGGTTTAAAGGAGCAGATGGTCCGTGGAAAACCTCAACCCAACAAATCTGCTCCTAAAAAACAATTCAATGACTCATCTGAAATGAGACTTTGGCAGAAACTGGTGGCTGTTCAACAATTTTGGAGTGTTTACCAAGCTGAGGATCTCACCTTCTGAGCTCTTTTTTCACTGCCATAATGAGTACAGTGAATTGTTCTCCTCTCCATCATCACATCCATAATCACTTAATAGCATGCTCCATCTAATTATGGGTTTTACACAACAGTTTATAGTCTATTTACCAGTAGGATCATCTCTCAGGAGAATAACATTTGGAGCCACTTAAATAACACCTTTGACATTTTAGACTAAGCTCTAGACATTTTAATGTGCTCGTATTGCCAACTGTAATCCAGCTGCACCGTTTTTGCATGTTTCTTTGTGCCGAAGGAGAGATGGAAAACGCAGACGTCAGTCATTAGTTCAGACCCCCGGGATACGTTAAGCAGCTCCAGCATAATGAACCGGCAGGCCGGGGGTCACCATTAGGCAGGAAAAAACACATCAGTTTCCCTGAGAACTCACATTTCTTGGCAGAGGACTCCGATCCGCTGGTTTTCCGAGCTGCTCCGCTCCCTGGACAGGCTGAGCTCTTCCTGGTATTTGGAGTTCTGCTGTTTCAAAGCCTCGAGCTGGACACAGAAAGCATAACAGTGAAAATTAGGGCTATTAAGAGAATGAGACTCCGAATACCTGAGAAAGATTCAAGCTGCTTTTCCTTTATTAAATTAGTTCAGATAAAGATGAAACCCAGCATTTGTTGCCTGAAATCAAAAAGTTCCTTTAAATCATATCAATTGTAAATGTGAGTGTTTATATTGAATGCAACCATAACTCAATTGCCAGGTCTGAAGCATCTTAGGGGGACTTCTTACCACAGGGTCATATCTAAGAAGTACATTCTTCCAAATCATCTGAAGGTCAAATAGATACTGGAAGCATCCCTCCGGTTTAATTATTTCCTGACAGTTTTCTCACACATGAGCCAAAAACTGTGGAAGAACAGCTCTCACTTTTATTTAAATGAATCTAAGTGTGATTGAGGCAGCTCTGCTAATGAATAACATTATTTCCCTGAAAGAGAGATAGGATTATAATGAAGGCGGAGGGTAGAGATGAATTAATACCGCCGGTTTAATCAGCATCTCTTTTAAAGGGACAGGATTCACATTTTAAATGACTGAAAGTGAGATGTAGGTTAGGCCTAAAACGAGTCAATAATTAAACAGCTGGGTGGTCACAGTGTGTATGAGCCTATAGGCGACCCACTTACACGACCCAGCTATCCAAAAACCCCAGCCAGAGCAACCTGAGAGCATGTAGCCTGCAGGTGGGAGCAGGAAAACACACCGTGTTCGTCTCGTCTGTCGCTGTATTTCTGCGTCTTCTTGTGAGCATCGTTTGTGACGACAGTTAACCACAAAAACACAATGACACAACATTTTCTATTCAATGACTTGTTTCTTTAACTATCAGAAAATTGAGTAATTTTACTGTCAAACTACCCCAAATCCTGCTGGATTGTTTTCATTGATTGGATACCGATAACAAAATGGGACGTCTGTTGAACAACTTCATATTTATCTAGAAAAGAGTTTCAATTCAAAAGCTTCCGGTCATTACACCTATTTATAAAGCTTCGACATTTCTAATGATGCAAACAGATATTTGGGAGAGTTAAATGCAAAAGCAAGCAAACTCCTCCTCCCTTTTCCCGTCACACACGCCGGACTGTAAACACATCTGAAATCCCTCCTCTGTGTCATCCACAGCTCCAGACCTGCGACGATCAATAACTAATTAACAAGCCCAACTTTGAAGCTGCAGATGGCATCAAACAGAATGGGGAAACCCTGCCGGGAGCTTTCTGCTCTGCCTTTGCGTTTGCAAACGGGACCTCGGCTGTCTTCTGGATGCCCCCCCTGCATGAGTTTCAGGTTTCTGACTGCCTCAAAAGGAAGATGAGGTCTGCAGGCAGATATGAGGGTGAAATCTAAGCCTTGATGGAGGAGCAGAGACGGGCTCCTCCGGCTCCGGCCGGTCCTACCTGGTAGTGGGGGGAGTAGATGCTGCCGGAGTACCCCTGAGGATGCAGGGTTGCCAGGTCCATTCCCACCCCTCGTTGCCGTGCCTCTGCTCTGCCCGGCCGAACGCGAGCGGAGCTCTAATGAACCATCGGCGCTCGCGTCCCGCCGTGCGCGGCTGCCAGGGGGAAATGGAGAGCGCGGCTCCCTGACCGTCACAGTCCGGTTAAACAAGCTGCACACTGGCATTATGTAAGGCAGCCCGGGCCCCTCCCCCTGCTCGCCCCCACCGCTCCCGAGCTCAGCGCACACACACTTTTCCCCCACTGTGAAGCAGAATGAATCTCAGCACTCCACACACTCCGGCTCACTGATGATATTTGGGATACTTTTCAACAAATGTCGCGACTGAGTGCACGTTTTTATCTCTCTAATCTGTCTAATGGGTCTCTAATTGTCTTTTAAAGCAGCACCAGAAAACCTGGCATTTGTTTTGCTCTTTGGCTCCCCGCTCCAGTTTTGGGGTGAAACCGTCCCCGTCATAGGGAAAATATTTGCATCTACAGCTCTACATCTAAATTTTAACATGTTAAAGTGGCCAAAAAAGCCTTCTAAAACCCAGAATAAGGTCAAGCGAATATACAGTCAAGATGGGTTAAATTTAGTTCAAAGTGTGAAGAAGTTACAGCTCTGTTTGTGGAGTTTTTAAAGCAGAACTGGAGGCAGAGCCTTCGGGTATCAGGTCTCTCTCTGTGGAAGCAGCCCCCCCTCTGCCTTTAACTTTCCTTTTTCATAAAGCTGATAGTTAGAGCTGGCTCAGTAGTTCTGCTGGGGGCTCCCATGACGCACCTTTCCTTCCTCTCTGTGTGCGTGTGACATTATTGTTATCGTTAACTTGTGTTTCTTCTGTTCGTGTATCCTGAGCTGCTGTTTTTCCTCTTTCCTGTCCTCTCAAATCCCTGCTGGCCGAGGCAGATGCCTTAAAAACATTTTTAATTGGCTGTAAAGTAACTGGATGTATTTGGAACAGAATGAACTGGAATTAACTGGATTATAACTGTATTACAATTAGCTGGATTCAAATTGGGGCTCCTCGAGACGACGTTTGTTGTGACTTTATAAATAAAATTGACAGAACTAAATCTAAGAGATCCCCGTCAGAAGCAGCCAGAAAACGGTGACGAAGCCTCCTCAGAATCACACGGCTGTGTCCAGAATCCAAAACAATCCAGTTCATTCTCCGAAGATGAAACGAACCAGCCGATAAATACAGCCCACTAGAAACTTTTGTGGAGGGACAAACTCAAAGATATTCACTGATGAAGAGCAGTGGCCACACAGAAAACTAACCCGAGGAGGAAAATGTCCAAAACCTTTCTGTATATAAAGCAGGCAGTTTGTTAACTGATGGCAAAACAGCTTATTTAAAAGGCCAATAGCAGGTCAACTGTAACTATAGCTGCGCCCCGGGTAAGATGGCGCCATCATCATCGTCATCGTCATCATCACAGCCTGCAGCTCGCTTTGACATGTGCAGGATTACATCACAGCCCTCATCATCAGCTGCGAGCGGAGAGGAAGCAGCTGTGGGAGCACTGTGAATAACTCCGGAGCAGCATGTGTGCCCTCTCTGTGGCTTTAAAGGCAATAAAGCTTTGAATTTCTACTGTTCAACTTGGCTCCTCTGCTTTTCCAAGAGGGCTGGTTCCTGTCCTATGTGCCGTGGCTCTGGTTCTCAGCCCGGTTTACACTGCACGTAAACGTAAACTCGTCTTAAACGAAGGAGGCAGAAAAGCTCTGGCTATTCACACAAACTGCAGCTGAACTTGTGGCCGGGTGGGATATAGTTATTTTTGGTGTGGATTTGCATAATAATAGTGCTCAGAGTTCCAAATTGCGTAACTAAAAATGACTAATGTTGAGAAGATAAATAACCAGTGATGTAAACTTTTAATTTAGCCCTTTTATGGCTTCCATAAACAGTTAATATATGGTATTAAATCTCTATTACAAAGCAGGGGAGAAGATTACAGGGTATCTTAAGTGTACCTGTGTAATTACGTGTAATAAAAAAAAAAAAACTCAGGCAGGTTAGAGCTGAAATTATGTTTGGACTGATGACCAAATAATATTGGACGTATTATTTTAAATAGAAGGTAAAATCCTTACAATTCAGATCAGTCTGCTTAAAATCTAAGTTTAACCTCTGAGAACTATCAGGATGGAAAGATGATCACCAAACAGATATTCCTCCTTTAAAGGCTGCTCTAAATATGAACGGGTATCTAACAAAAGTATGAAAATGCACGCTTTTTTCTGCTGGTGTCACAGCGAAGGCACGCAGACTTTAGATGGAAAGGAGCTGAAACAGAAAGAGGGCAGCAGAGAGCCGACGACTGCCGGAGCGCTTAACAGAGAGGAAACGCTAACAACACGGAGCGGGTTCATGCACGGCTGCTTTAATGTGAGGACTGGGACGGACTCGGCCCCGTTAACAGCAGCATGAACCAGTCCAGCATGAACCCCGCAGGCTGCAGATGCCGAACTGATGTGTGTAAAGCACATCGGAGTGCACAACAAGCTGGATCCTGAGAATGGAACAATCCCAGCTGGGGTTGAGCAAAAAACTTCAACCCAGGAAGCCACGGACAGATCGCGAGACCATTGCCCCTCCAGAGGTAGCCAACCACATTTAGGGCGAATACTTTAGGAGTGAGTCAGAAAGTCACCTACTTTGTCGAATAGCTGAAGCTGGAAAATAACCGGCTAATAAAAACTACAAGCTGCTTTGGTCTGTTCTGAGATCAGAAGCAGATGGAGGTGAGCGTAGACCAACAGGTGAAGAAAATCTGAAGAAATAAGGAGGAAATGGCTTGGAACACTATTGCAAAACGGCCAGAATCTCCAGCTCTTTTTAGAAAGCTGAACCGGGTTTGTGGAAACAGGGAAACACGTAAAACCTGCAGGAGTTTTACGGGTTTCTGCTCACCTGCATCTCCAGAGTCTTCTTCTCATTGGTCAGCTGCTCCAGAGACACAACCGTCTTCTCTGACTTCTCAGTGACCTGCAAAGCAGAGAGGGATCTTTGAATGATTGTTGCACCAAATCATTCAAAACCAGGACAAACGGTTTAAGAAACACTCTTTTCCTAAACTCCTTTCCATCTAAACTCTCTGGGAGGCTGATTTGTGTTCACTCCTGCATCTGCAACCCTTTCAATTTTTGGTAAAAAAAATTAGTCATTTAAATTTGGATCCTATAAAAATGAGTTACTCTTCTCGTCCAAAACTCATTCAGCTGTAACATAGTGTAACGTTCCTGTAAGTACGGGCTCACGTGTCCCTCACTGTGTGTTTTAGTGTAAAGGAAGCCGATTAATCTCGATCAAAGGATGTCTGGACAGACTTTCTCTGGAACTTTCTCGTTACACAAGCAGCCACAGCTGGTGAATCCATGTGTGCGTTACTAATGCTTCGACGGCATCATATTAGCCCGAGGTCACACTTATCTCTGAGGGAGAGATTAAACGGGTCTGAAGGCAGCCGCGGCTAAAAGGATGCCGAGCTAAAGCGGGATGACCGATCAACTCGGAGGTCCCACGTGTTTCAAAAACATTTAGCTGGGGCATTTGAGTTTTAAAATGAAACCAAAGCAAAAGCAGCGACGATCAACACTGATTCAAACTGATCCAGAACCTTATTTTTAGAACTCGGATTTGACTATTTTCAGAAATAAAATCACAACTTGCTGGGGAAAAAAACGCAATTGCTCCATTTATAAGGGCTTCTACTAGTTTGCCAGGACAAGCAAGCAAAATCTGACAAAAACTGACTGTAATGTGTAGTAAATCTTAAGAGAAGCAGAGAGTTGTATTGAGTTTAACGCGCTCAGGCCCACCTGTGCCAGCTGTACTCTGAGATCCTTCTCTCTGCGCTCGCTCTCCTCCTTCAGGGTGTGCAGCTCTTTCTTTGACCGCTCCACGCTCTGCTCCAGCTCTGTCAGACAACAGCAGGACATCAGCCTCCATAACCCTCACACAGCCGTCACCCAGCAGCCGGGGGGGGGGCGCGCCGGCCATGGTCTTCGCCGTCCTCCCGCTCTCCTCCGCCGAGTCCTCCAGCTTTTGTCTCTGAGATGGAGAAACGTCAACGTGACCACGAGCTAATCGCAAACAGCAGCATTCTTGAACCTTGAGCTAAACGGAGAATAATGACGGGCTCCAGAAAACACGCGGGGTCTGTTAATAAAACTGCCTCTCTTAATGAGGCCACTTTCACAATGCCCACGAGCAAAACAGCTCACAAGTGAGTTGCAAAGCTCCGAAAGAAGAGGAACCTCTTTAGATTAAAGCTGCTGTGGCATTTTAACCCACACATGTTTATTATTTGGAACATTTGAAGCTAAATCTCTCATCTTTGTCACAAAGCTGTGTCCTGGGGAAGATGGTGGGGAATCAACTGAGATGGGACCTTTTGAGGAAGCTGCATTTAAACTGAAAAATTCAATCAAAGACCAGCGTGGCCCTGTTGTTTTGTCCTATTTTCTCCCTCCTGTGAGTCTGAGAATCTCCCAAATAAGCAGCACATTGCTGACCAATGCATTTGTGTTCGCACACTACAGTTTTACAACTATTTGAGTCGTAGAGACATAATATTCAGATCATGGTGTTATCATGAGAGCGGTGCAGTGAGTCTAACCTAAAGTCTGCATTAGTGACACAGGATTTCAGGATTTTGCAGATTTGTTGCAGCAACAATTGCCCATGAAAAAAAAAGAGCTTTACAAGAAAGCTGAACCTAACAAAAGGCTGCTCTTAGCTCTCTGGATCTGGATTAGGAGGTGGCCCTTCTCCACCAAACTCACCAAAGATCCAAAAGTTGTACACAGTTTTAAACACAGAAAGCTTCCAGATGCAACAGAAGAGCATTTTATCTTGATTAAAATATGTTTTATGACCATGTAACTGCTCAGTTTGGTTCCTTATACACTGAACGGCTTCGGTCCACCTGAGAAAAAAAGCCTCTTTTATCCCACGTAATGATCAGCACCTCTAAAACTGGTGCCTATATAGCCACAAGATCGCAGGGTAAACCTACATTATAACATATATATTGGATAGTAATATTCTATGTGGTTATTCTGGAGTAGAAGAAAAAAGATTTAGTTTATAATAAAAATGTGCTGAAAATCTTGATTAAAACTAATAAATAATACTCATTAGAGCCAAACAAAGATTTTAATACATTTTAAGAAACTACATTTTTCTTGGGGCAGGCTTTATAGGCTTAAGATGACTGAAGCTCTGCTTCTTTTTGTGATTTTAGGAACACTTAAGCTGTTTGTGGAAACAGTCAGCCTTTAACCCCGTTTCCCCAGAGATTTGACATCTCTTCACTGTCACTTTTCCCATAAATTGCGTTGCAAATGAAGACCTTTCCGAGGTTTCGGCGTGTCATTTCAAAGCCTTCCCGGGTTCTTACCATGCTGGTGAGCTGCTGCTCCACAGAGCTCTTGTCCTCATGCGCAGACTGGAGCTCTTTCTGTTTGCTCTCCAGGTCCACGCTCAGCTCACTGATCTGCAGAGGGCACAGACAACATGTGGAAATATGTACTTATACACACTGAGGACTGACAGGGGGGACCCTCCACACTCTACAGATACCGCCGACTAATCCTTTTAACGAGCAAAACACCCACTGAGGGATTTCTCTCCCGCTCCCCACAAACCTTCTTCTCCTGGGACTGGACCTGGGCCTTCAGGCTGCCGATCTGCTGCTGCGACAGAGAGGCGGCGTCCTCCTTCTGCTGGGACGCCCGCAGCCGCAGCTGGAGGTCCGCCACCTCCCGCTCCAGCTCCATGATCCTGGAGCGCTCCGACACCGTGGCCACCTGCGGCAGGGAGAGGGACGAGGCTGAAACGGCATTTTTACAAGTCGGTTCGCCGGTTGTACTCGATATAGGACCGAAAGCTTCGGTCCGTTCTCAGCTGAATCTACTCTTTTTCTCACCATTATCTCCATCTTGTTTCACCTCTAAATACAAACACATCACCAGTCCGACTTCCACGTTTTACAAGACAAAGTTTGGCTTTTATCCAAATGTAAACGTTGTAAAATTAACATTTTTGTGTAGTGTAAAAAATAGCTTAAATATTAAACTACACCTGAAAATAGAGCAAAGCAAAATTGTGTTAAAGAGAGGTGATTTATCTTCCTTTCCTTTAGTTTTTTTCAGGAACAAACCTTTATGTTTTCACAGTCCTAAATGATCTTTTAGACCTTATTTGTTAAGATAAGATATAATTACTGGCTGCTGAATGCAACTTTACATTTTGAAAGAGAAAACATTTTCAATTAAATTGGCAAAATGTCTAAAAGTGATACAATACAATACAATACAATTCGGATTTTAAATTGGTTGAAAATGTGCATCTTTTTCTCTAGGTGTCCTAAATGTTGTGTTAATACCATTAAAAAATCTGAATATATTGTTCAGAACCTTTTTTTTTTATGAAAGCAGAGGGGTATAATCATGACACACACTGGGACACGTATTATCATTATAAAGGATCCTGTAGAAATTGATTTTTCTAATAATTTGCCTCCAAAGGAGCCCTCTTTGGGGCATTGACATGAGTCAATGTGTTACTTTGACTGATCAAAGACAAGTCAAAGCTTTTTAAAGGATAATGTATGGCTACAGCCTTTGTCTTAAAGCCAGCAAAACCCCATGAAAGTCAGATGTAAAGAAAGATCGAATTTTTCAACGATATCCCCAAACTGAAAAACAACAAAGCCTCAGAGGAACAGGTTTGTTTTAGTGGTACACAAACGTCTGCACAAAAGGTTCCAGCTCAGGAACCCAAAGCAGGGCAGCAAAAAATCCATAAATAGAGAAAACACCACCAAAAGGGAGGGTTTGTTTAGAGAACTGCAGCACCACACGGTCCCAGTGGACCAGTGGAGGACAAAAGAAGAAGAGCTGGGCCTAAAAAGAGGATCTGAAAGTGACGTCCTTAAGAAAGAGGAACTAAATCCAGCGAAGACCTGACACAGGTCTCCAACAAAGTGGTTATGATCTTTTAATAGGATTTGTTGAACGTGAGGGGATTACGAAGAGAAAGAGAAAGAGACTTTTGTCTGTACAGAAACCTTCCGACAGTTTCTGTAAAAGGGGAAATAAAAACTCATCTTGATCTTTTTATGGGATTTGCTGGCAGGAAAACGGTTGCATGAAGTCAGCCTTCTCCTTAAAAGCTCATACACATCCAAACAATATCCAGATTTATCATCCTGTTCGGGATATAAACCTGAGTTGTTATACTGCATGCAGGAGGATGAGGTGTGAGAGTCGTTTTTCCAAAGCAAAGGACGACTTTCTCCGCGTCTCAATGCAGAACCGCTGTGTATCGCTAACAAAGCCTGTGGGAAACAGCGAATCACGCAGGCCTGCTGAGGGACCACGAGCGCCAGCATTACCCTAGTGTCCTCTAAATCCCTCTGGAGTTTTTCAGCTTTGGTCTTTTCAAAGAGCAGGCTCTGCTCAAGCTCCTTTATGTGGGCATGCTCCAGCCTGGTCTGCGTCTGTTAGTAAGAGAAAGCAGGAAGAGAAGGAGAACAAACACTAAAGCAACACCGACATGCCAGCCTCATGGAGCAAAAACAAACAGAAAGAAAAGTTTCAAAAGGAAGAGCAGCCAGTAAGAAAGCAGTGCTGGTAAACTGGAATATTCAGAGTTAATCCTGGTTGCTCTGATATCTTTACTTCTCCTCCAACCAGCCATCTTGATCCTTCTCAAGAGTGACAACAAGCACAGCGACGGCCGATGGAGACAGACACAGGAAGTGGAAAAATGCTGAAGATGGAAAGAGTAACATGAGAGGGACAGTATGCAAATGAATGAATGGATAGAAATGGTGAGTCTCAACGAGGGAGAGAATGAATGATTCAAAGAGCGCCGGAGAATCAGAAACTTCAAAGCCTGTTAGAATTTCAAAGAGGATGAGTGACTCTTTCGCTCATGTGGGGTGTAACATAGGCAAAGGGGGCAAAACAGAGATAGGATTTATGAGAAAAATAAGGTCTTAATTCAACAGAGGGCCTTGACATTATTACAACAGGTTTGAAAGTGTGTGTGTGAGTCAGTCTGACTGAATTTAACTGAATATGTGAGCATTTGGTTACCTCCAGGTCTCCTTTGGTGATGCAGGCCTCCTCCACTCGAAACTGCAGGTCCTCCACTCTCCTGTCAAACAGAGACTCAAATCAGCCGATTCAGCCTGAACCAGACTACTGTACACAGTCTGAGTAGAAAAACAGGAATTTAACAACCTTTAAATGTAGCTTGTTCACTTCAAACTTGAATTTGCATTTGAATTACTAAGATTTGAGTTCAACTGATTAACTTTCCCTGTAAAGTAATGAAACAAACTAAACACAAATAAAAAAATCAGATTAAGAAAAAAAATAATAATAACAACACCAATAATAAGAAGAAGAAGAATAAAAAGAAGAACAATTAAGCTATAACATGAAATGGACAACACTGTTAAATGACCGTTGAAGTGACCCCGGATAAGCGGTGGAAAATGGATGGATGGATGGATGGATGGATTTGGTACCTTTTGAATTGATCTCGTATTTTTTAATATTGTGAAATAAAATCTAAAATGTTGAATCCTTCTGACAGCTGCCAAATTTATTTGAGCCAGTTAACCTTCTGTTGGTTCAGAAAATCACTAAATCAATTTACGAAAAATCACATTTTACTCTCCTGTTTGTTTGTAGAAGTAAAGGCTAATTTAGGTATCAAAAGCTACAAATTCACACTAGTCACTGAATGCAACACTATACCCATCCATCAGTACACTTTTAATAAGTCTGGTGAATGCTTCTATGAGCAATTCACAGCGTACTTTAAAGGTTATTCTGATCCTCATAGCTCCTGTGAGTCCACAGGTTTAGGACACCCACCTCTTCTCCTCCTCCAGCTGGTTGAGCAGCTCCACTTTGTCCCGATCTGCAGCCTCCACCAGCGAACGCAGCTGGTCCAGTTTGGCCTCCATCTCCACCGAGTACTAGAGAAAATGGATCAGATCTTTATGGTTTACGGCTCATAAAGTAATCTCTGAAATATCCTGAGTTAATTCACACACATCTTTAAGATGGCTTTCAGGGGGAACTTTACACTTTCTTTTGGGTTAAATATTAACACAAATATTAAATATAATCTCGATTTGAAACATATTTTCCTGTTAAACTTTAACTGTTTAAGCATTAAGGTTATAACATTTCTATTTGTCCAGTGCTTTTTAAAGATATTCACAATATAAGAGACCATTTTTGATCACATAAGAAAAGATAATTGAAATATTCAGGCAGAAATTAATGCATTTGTTCTCACATAACTAATACTAAAAAGAGCAAGATCCTGAGAAGCTCAACCAGAAGGCATAGTATAAAAACATTGTTAACTATCGTAAACAGCAGTGACATGTTCTTTAAAGCTTTATAACATATGAAAATGCTTAATTAAAGTTTTCCTTCTTATGAATAACTATGGACAAATCATTTTAGAGTACAAGTTTCTGATATGCTAAGACTTTTAAAATGTTATATGATAAAAACACACCCTGTAGTCACAGATGAGATGACTCAGACGTTTTGCACATTTGAGGCAGAATAAATAATACTAATCCTGAAAAAAAAGTCTTCTGGAAGCTAAAAATGGAGGAACCAGAGAGAGATGTGGCTCCATCTGACCTGCTCCCGCCCCTTCCTCATCAGAACCAGCTCCTGCTGCACCTCTCCGGCGTGGCTGGTGGCTTTGGCCACCTCACACCTCTCCAGGTCCCGCTCGGCCAGCAGCTGCTCGATGTGCTGCTGCTTCTCCTTCAGGGCCTCCTGCAGCGCCGTGGTGCCCGAGATCTTACGGGCGTAGCGGGCAGACGTCTCCGTCAGCTGAAAAAGGCACAGCCCCGGGTTTCATTCGCTGGTTGGTTTAAGGCGGCTTCCATGTTTGTTTTTACCAGACTGCTTGGAGTTCATGTATTTGTTCATCCATTAATATTTTTAGTGGATCATTAAAGACTGCAGGAAGTAAATTAAAGTGAACTTCGGAGGCTGAACATCTTAAATATTTATGTTTTTGAGTTGGTTTAACAGAATTATTCATTAAATTCCTGTTTATCTATAATAGATATAATTCAGATATATCCACATTCATATTCGTGACAAAGTTTTATTCCTGATGTGTCTCATAGTTTGTGTCTTACTGAAACAATTTAACTTCATATAAGCCCTAACTCAAATGGATTAAGCAGATTTGGGAAATAGATGGACATCTGGCCTTCCATGTTTCAATGTCTCATTGCCTGAATGAGAGAACTGGATCAGGTATAAAGCAGATCCTGCCCACCTACCAACTTAGAGGGTTTGTGTTGGGCTGGTCCATTTGTGTCTAACCAGACAACAAAACTAGGACAATACTCATGAAGCAAACAGGAAGGTTAAAAATTACTTTCTGGCTCATTTCATGGTCAGACTTTTTCATTAGTGAAATATTGCATGCATCTCAAAGTTTGAGTGACTATCTTTGACAAGGAAAACTGCTTAAAATTCTCGATTGTTTTGGTTTATGTACAATTTTTACAGACAGAAAAAACAGAATAAAAAAAAAAGCTCATACAGCTTTAGAGTTGTGAGCGCCGATGGGAGAAGAAGAGCATCCCCTCATCAATCATGAGGGGATGCTCTTCTTCTCCCATCTGAATTTATCCAGTAGATAATACCAGGATGATTTTGGTTGAGGGGGGGGGGTCTTACCAGTCCGGCCCGGCTGGGTTTGCCGCTGATGGAGGAGGTGGCGGAGCTGAGGGAGCTGATGGAGGAGGCGCTGGGGCTCCTCTTGAGGGTGGACCTCCTGCGTGAGCTCTGGGCCTTAGTGGGGGTGGTGCAGGGGAAGCCGATCCGGGTCACTTTGTGGACGGGAGCAAACAGGCCGTACCTGGGCAAACACTGGAAATACCTGAAAGGAAAAGCCACACAACACAATGAGCAAACGAAAGAAAAGCCGACCGGTGAAATTAACCTGAGCCAAAGAGCAGATCTGCTCACCTGGTTCCCGCCACGGCCCCGTCATTCTTCCCCAGAGGCTCGTCCAGCTCCACGCCACACCACTCCCCTTTGGCAAAGTCCGTTTCTCCCAGAAACCGCACGACTCCCGCCTTCGTGCCCCCGACCTAAACCCCAAAAGCGTTTCCAAATGAACCGGTGATCAAATGAAGCAAACCTGCCTCTGACCAGGGATTAAACAAGCTTCTAAACACAGAAAAGAGACTTTCCTTAAAAAAGGTTCATGTCTTAGTGTTCCTTCTGGGTCTTACCAGAACACGATCCCCCAGCCTGAGCTCCCGGCGGCTCTTCTTCATGGAGTCCGGGTCTGACAGGTTGGACACCGACTCGCTGGACGTCACCATTCGGCTGAGCATACTGCTGGTCTTAATGCCGGTGGCCTGGACTGGGCGGGGACACACGCTTTCATTTGGTGACATTAGCACAGATACAAGGTGCACAAAGGTTTTTAAACCCCACAAAAGGTCCTTTTTTTAATGAACGGCTGCAGAAATCTCTTAGAACTTGAGCAAATGTAAATGTAACTACAGTATTTAGGACAAAAATGTTTCATTCTAAGGAGCTCAAAGTTAGCATTTGCTCTGAGCTTCTTTATTCTCCATCACTGAATCCTCTTTAAAGAGTCTTCATGGACCATTTCTCCAGGCCTCTTGAAGGACATCCTGAAGCTCTTTTCTTGAATGTTGCTAAATTTTCTGCTGACAGCTCTTTGGGAATCAGCTTGTCGCTGCCTGTTCAAATCCTGTTTTCTGCCTGTCAGACTGTTATCTTTGGCGTTTTTCACACATCAGCTAAATTAACGGGAACACATGATGCTTTTGTGGCAGGCGTCTGCTAACAAAGAGCCTAAAGGCCCACTTTAAACTGCTGTCAACACCAGCTCATCCCTTGAGTTAGGGGCCTGTTCAATGACTGAATGAAGAATTACAATAACTGAGGTGAAAAGAAAACATTTTAAAGACCTGCAGAAGACAATTTTTTGACTACAAAAATACAAGGAAGAGTCCTCCCGAGGAGCCTGACTTTCTTAGTTCTGCTGCCTGGGAGGAGATCTGAAATACTGAGGGTGGATCAGGACTCTGGCTCAGTTCTCACAGAGGTTCTGGTAGTTACCGGCACAACTCGATCACTCCGGTCATCAATGGATTGTCGTCTAGCAGAGCCTCCACCACGCTTAAGACAATCCAGACTGTTTGCATGTGTCGTTCCAAGATGGTGGAACCACCTACCAAGCTACAAGAACAGCAGCGTCCCTGTCTGTCTTCAAGAAACTCTTGAAGAACCCCCTCTTCAAAGAGCATCTCTTATCCTAACCCTAACCCGTACCTCTACCCCCCACAGCTCCTATCCTAACCCTAACCCGTACCTCTACCCCCCACAGCTCCATCTGTAGTCCCTCTACCTCTACCTCTATCTCACCACTGACTCTGATCAGTGTTTCTCCTCTGTATAGCTTACTGTCATAGTGATGAGAAATGCAATATTGTGTCTACTCTGTAAGTCGCTTTGGTTAAAAGCGTCTGCCAAATGCATAAACATAAACATAAACATACTGGCAGCGGTCGGGCCTGCAGGAGCGGGCTCGCTTTGGGGGCCCGGGGGGGCCGGGGGGGCCGCGGGGGCCCCCCCCCCGTTGGCCTCCTTCTCAGGCAGCGCCGTCTTGGAGAGCTTGGAGGGCCGAGTGAAAATCCCCCGGCCGTCCTCACACTGGAAGTAGCGGACGCCCGCCACCGAGCCGTCGTTCTTCCCGATGGGCTCGTCCAGCTCGATGCCCGCCCACTGGCCCGGGGCGAACTGCGTGCCCCCACAGAACCGCACATATCCGGGCTTGTTGCCGTTCACCCAGACCCTGTCGCCGACCTGGAAGTCCGCGCTCCCGTCCTGGGTCGGCGATGTCACGCCGCTGGGGGACTTTTCTGGAGGAACCGGCTTTGGAGTACCTGAATCAGACCAGAAGAAATTCACTCCTTTTTAAACCCTGTAATGCCAAATGTTTTTACCCGACAGCAATAACAAAACTAAACGCAACCAAAATAATCATCATCAATCATCATGGACGATGTGTGTGAGAATGTGTTATTCTTATTTATTAGTTTTTTTATTTATTTTTATTTATTTATTATTTATTTATTGTATTTTTTTTTATCAGTTATTTGTTATTTATTTCTTATATTGTGTGTAAATTGTGGGCATAGGCACTGATTGATGGCACTTTTTTTACATTTCGTTGTTTCTTGTGACAATGACAATAAAGATTAATTCATTAATTCATTCATTCATTCATTCATTGTATCATATTTGATACGTACGGTTTCTGAAATGTTTTGCATCTGACACCTTTTGCATAATTTAATGGTAAAAACTTTGATCAAAATCCTATCGTACACCATCAGATATACCTGATAACAGGGGGCAAAAGACTACACAAAAAATAATCTTGACTTATCGCATAGTAATAAATGATCAATATTAAAAATGTATTTCTGTTTTTTCTTTTTACATATTTTGTTAAAAAGCCAAATAAGGCAGTCAAACCAAAAAAAAAGTAATTTTCTGTTTTGTTTTATTCTTGGATCAGGCTTTAAAGGGTTAAAGCAGTTTTCTTCTGTTTGCTTCTTGACCAGATTTTCCTAATTTCTTACCGGAGGACGGGGAGGTTCTGGACGGCACCCCGGACGGACGGACGATCTTACTGGGGGGCTTCAGGCCGCTGGCCTTGCTGGACGTGCTCATGGCGCCCTGTTTGTCCAAAGGTGACCGGCCCGATCGAGCGGGGGGGACGAGGCCTTCCCCACCACCCCAGACCGTCCCAATGTGACGGAGGGACCTGCAAATAGAGAGATAAACGAGGATTTGGGGAGTCAAACTTGCTGGTATAACACAGAAAAACAGGGGTTTGTGTTTAATCTAAGAAAATAAGCCCATCTCTTAAGTAAAGCGTATCCTTTTTACTGACTTGTGCGATACCTGAAAATGAGTTAATTCTGTGTCAATACTACTAAATATGATTAATGCAGCTGACTTTTTAAAGCCTTACAGACTTGGGATCATTTCAGAGAAGAAACAGCTCCTCGTTAATGGAGCTCCAGGTTTGTGAGTTCACTCTATCTGTTAAAAAGGTTTTAATGTTTGAGCCATTGAAATATGGACTCTCTATAATCATCAGATGAATAGTTTTTCATCAGTGGTTCCTATTTCTATTCAAAATATGTGAATAAGAAAGGAACAACGCATGCTCATTTGTGGTGAGCCCTTTTTGAGGAAGACGTCATGTGTGTTTATGGGACTTTAAACCATCTTGTGGTTGGTTTTTATGTTGTTTCTGCATCTGTGGCTGAAGACAAGAAGTAAAGATTCAAATCGATATCCAATCAGCTTGTTTAGGAAAGTGAATTTCACTTTTAACTTTGCCTGTGATTGTGAGAGGATGAATTTGGCTGATGAACCATCTCAGTGCTTTGTTGACAGAGGTGTGTCTCCTTATCAGAGATTACCAGCACCAAAAGCCTCACCCAATCAGCTTTGAGTTATTGTTACAACACAATAAAACCCTTTTCATAGAGACCTGCGTCATCTAAAGCCACATCGGTGTTCCGTCTGAGCAGCACGGTGTTTATTAAAAAGCTGCTAATCATCCAACAGTTTGAATGAGGTGTTGGTGTTCTGCCTGTTATTCTTGTATTTGCTGGACAGCCGTCAGACCACAGAGATGATTCACTCTGACAGCAACAAGACAGACTTTGTTTCACACAACAAACAGCGTATTTTCATCTGAGCAGCGTTCACATTTGAGGCATAAAATACTAGTGTTTGCTTTGTGCACATACATTTGCATCAGCCAATAAATAGTAAGGATACTCTCAACACACCTCTCAATCCGCTTCACAACTTTATTTTCATTTTACTGCGACCCTAGTCCTCTGACTACACATGAAAGTGTAATAAAAGTGTAATAAAAACACAAATGCATCTATTTCAGGCAACAACTGTTGCTCAGGAACTCAGGAAATGACAACAAGGTAAAAAAACAAATAGTATGCTTAGAGATAATAACATTTTATTCATGGAGTTGAAGAAATTATCATTAATATCTAATATTTTGGCAGATTTTTCAAAACAAAGATTAAAAACTTACATCACAACCAGATTCAGAAGGTTTTTGTGAGTAAGTACACAAGATATTCTCATGAATGTGTATTAAAATGCTTACAAAATCTGGGGTATCACACCCAAATAAAGCAGCTTCAAATTCTGTCTGAATCTGCGACTCAACAATGCACAAATGGGGCACATTTACTTGTTTATGTGCCAAAGCTCCATAACTTTGCATGTTTTTCCAAAAATAGTTTAGTAGATATGTATATTCCTACAGTCTCTTTTTTTTTTACAGACTAAATGTCAAATTGAGTTCTCTCAAAGGGTTTTCAGACGGTTGCTCTGCTCTAAAAAAATCTGGTCTGTTCTGACAAAATCACCATTAATGTAACTTAAAGACAGAGTCTGGAGACACTCACACGTTTCATGTAATCGCAGATAAAATTAGAAGCAGCTGAACATCCTGAATGTTTACTTAGCGATCTGTTATCTGTTAATAACTCTATTGCCCTCCTGTACTGCGATAGTGGTTAAATAGTGGTTAGATAGTGGTTAAATGACCAGTTGAGATGTAAGTGTAAAGTGTCTAATCCCAAATATATAGCAGTCAGAGGGCTGTGTGAGTTTTGCCAAAAGAACATGTGTAATGACAATAAAGTTTAACCTAATCTAATCTATTAACACCTAAAAAGTCACAGTCTTTGGGATGTGGGGATATTTTGTCTCAGATTGTGTTAACGACATAGACACACACTACAATACAGCTCAGAATGACAAAAGTTAATCCTGTTAAAAAAACTGCCCCATGCAATGACCAGCTACAAAAGGAAAGGTGATAACACTCGAACGTTACCTCAAAAGCTGCTAAACCCCGCCCAACCGGAGCGGCCAGACCAAAACAACGAGCACACCTGGAGCTGTCAAAGCCAGCCCTGACGCTCCCAGACTCACAGACAACAACAGTGGTGTTCGCAGCTTTGCACATCCCCCTGAAATAAACGTGAATACCGTCCACAATATCCCACGCGCTGAGGCTGGCGCGTGGGTGTTGTGTCCGGGCTGGACTGTGACATAGACATATCTGGAGGAGCCACTGGGGGATAACTTAAGATTTAAACTCGGTGCCCCCACCCACTCCACCCCACAAATTCCACGACACCCATTTGCTTTGATGAACAGACGAGTTTAGCATGAAATAAGATGATATACTGACTTATTTTGTGTCCCGTGACTAAAGCCATTCCCTGTTGGAATTCCAAAGCAAGCTAGCTAGCTTTAGGTTAGCAACAAAACCACAAACTGATGCTAATGTGAAACAACGGACGCCACGCTCAGGTGACGCCACCGCGAATATGGAGCGGACAGCGGCGGGAAAAGTTGTTGTGGGAGCTTACTTGGTCTCTTTGAGTGAACTGGGTCTCAGAGAGGGGAGTCTCGGGAAGGTGCTGCGTGCCTTGCACCGTTACATGTTTTTCTCCCGTTTCCCTGCCCAGCCCCGACGGACTCAGCCTGACGTCACCTTGGAAACTGATGCCGCCTTCAGGGACGCGGACAATGGCTCGTATATGCCAGGTTCGATCATGAAAAATGTGTTCTTCAATTAATATTATTCGTCTGAATTTAGCCAATTGAGAGGTCAACCCTTTAGAACCCGATTCAAGAAAAAAATGAAGACATTTTTAATTTTTTAAAATATCAAAATTGCTATTTAGCCCTTTAACAAAATGTGAAAAAAGAACGAGCAGAAATATGTTTTTTAATATTAATTTATTACAATGTAATAAGTCCAAATCATTGTCTGTATTCTCCTGCCTGCTGTTATCAGGTATATCAGACCGTGTACAACAGGTTATGAGCAAAGTTTTTAACCACAAAATCATTTAAAAGATCTCATGTGCAAAATATTTCAGAAACCATACATATCAAAAATGACACAGATGGTGTCAAAGTACCCCTCTTCTTTATTCCATGTGTTTACCTTAAAATTAATTTATATGCCATGTTTTTCTGGTAACAAAATAAAACAGAAATAGTTTGAGAAAAGTAATTCAGAATTTCTCCTGTTTTAACTTAACAAATCAAAATTTCATGTTATGTTCAATTGTGTTTTTGAAATTGAGTCAAAGTACTTGTTTTTACATTTCTTAGTGTCATTGAATACATGTTTAACTAAAGATAGAAAGCACAGGGATATTCTTTAAAATACACTGTTTAATATATGAACATGCTAGCCTCCTTCAGAAAAACCTTTGAAACACTTGATTTTGTTGTGCTTTTAAAAGTGTGTTGTGCTTTTTTCATTTTACTCAACTTTTACTGAATAAATAGCAGTCTGGAGTTCATTACAGCTGAATTCCACTTTATCCCTTTTCTACTAGTTATTATTGTAACTTTTAATAGCATCTCATTTTTACAACCTTGCCATAAGGGAGTTAAAACAAAGATAAGTGAACGAGCTTCTACCTACGCGGAGGGTCATTTTGTTCTTGGTAACGGGCACAGACACAGATGTTAGGTCTCTTATCACCTGGCTTCACATCCGACCGTCAACAGTGGAGATATTGTTGTCGGAGGAGGACGCCGCCTGGTCGTCTTTGTCCTCGCTTCTCCCCAGCAGCTTGTTCAGCACCTTGTTGAAGGCGCCGCTGAAGGCCGGGCTGGAGAAGTAGTACACCACGGGGTTGAGCACGCTGTTGAAGTAGGTGAAGCACACGGAGGTGTAGAAGGCCAGGTTGGCCTCCTCGAAGTAGCGGCACTCGTCGTACCACACCTTGAGGATCCACACGGCGATGCGGGACACGGTGCTGGGGAAGAAGCAGGTGACGAAGATCAGGGCCACGGCCAGCACGAACTGCACGGCCCGCTTGATCTTGCCCTTCTTGTCCAGGGTCCGGTTCTTCAGCTGGCAGGTGATGCGCACGGTGCAGAAGGCCACGATGGCGGTGGGCAGGAAGAACTGGACGACGTAGAAGGTGTTGTGCCAGGTGGAGAGCGGGGTGAAGCCCATGCAGATGTTGAAGCTCTCGCACTGCGTCCGGTTGCCGTTGTAGAAGAAGTGCTCGTCGGCCAGCAGGTACCCGGTGGCCAGGAAGATCAGGCCCCAGAGGCCCAGCGACACCCACAGGGCGTAGCCCAGGCCCAGGTTGTTGATGGGGTTCCTCGGGTGGACGATCTTGAAGTAGCGGTCCACGGCCACCGCCGTGAGGAAGAAGATGCCCGCCGCCCGGTTGGCCGCCAGCAGGAAGAGGAGGATCCGGCACGGGGCGTCCCCGTAGATCCAGTTCTTGCCCCTCCGGTAGTAGTCGGCCCGGAACGGGAGGCAGAACAGCACGATGGAGTCGGCCACGGCCAGGTGGGTCAGGTACACGGCGTTGGGCTTCCAGGTGTCCATGTGGAAGACGAACATCCACAGGGCCAGGATGTTCCCCATCAGCCCGAACATGAACTCCAGGATGAGGATGGGGGGCAGGACCCGGTCCAGGACGGGCGACTCGAAGGCGCAGCAGACGGCCGGCTGGCTGAGATTCATCCTGTGACCGGTGGGTGACCCGCTGCCGAATGAGTCAACAGACAACGGCGCAGGTGTCTGTGTGCGGAGGGGAGTCGTCGTGTTTGCCCTCATGCAAAAAAAAAAAAAGGAAAAAAAAAAAGAGCCCAGACAAACACGCTAATTCACAAGATGAGCATCTGTGCACGGCGCTATCTGTGGGGAAGTGGTATTGACCCAAAGGAGCACGGAAAACCACCAAACCAGGGAATAGGTTTACTCATGGGGAGGGAGCATGGAAAACAATTAACCTGCGGCCATCGCCGAGAGCGAGAAATCCCGGTAATTCCCTTAAAAAGAACAGACACAAAAAAACAAGAGAAGGCGCGTGTGTGTGTGTACCGGCGAAAGAGAAATTTATTAGCCTACAGGATGCGTGAGTGAAGAACATTTGTGAGGGACTCGGGTCAGACCACACCTTTGGCAAACGAGAGAAAGCAGCTATTAACTAAAAAAAAAGAAAAGAAAAGAAAAAAGCCAAGTGAGTGGCCAAGTCCGCAGTTTTTTTTTTTTTTATGTACAGTAAATAAAATAAGTATAAAATGACTTAATGTGTACATTTGGCCATTTCGTCGCTGTTACAGGTCACATCTGTTTCGGTAAAAGTGCATATTTGGTCTTCACTTCTTGACTTCACCCAGATCGTCGATGCTGTCGTCGTCCACCTGCAACAGAGCAGCAGAGCGTTTGTTTTTCGCCTTTTACAGCCGGGAGGGGTTAGTTATTTTGGGAGGGAGAGCAGGGGGTTAACGGTAGAAACATTTCTCCAGTTATCTGGATCAGGTGTGCTGGAGCGGCAGGGAAACTTACAGTTTTACTTCATCGTCTCGTTTATTTCGCTTTATCGAGCCGGAAAAATACCATTTTTAGCGCCCAGTTCTCTCTGAGGCCCATCAGTGCTTTCAGACACAGAGAGAAACCTCCAAAGCTTCATCGGTCACTTTTCAGAGATGAATCATTACAAGTTTCTCAGCGGATTAAACTTTTTTTAACCTAAAGTTTGGATTTGGAGAATTCTTCTTCTGAGTGGAGGTGTGTTGTTTTCAGCATACATCGTTTCTGACATTTGTAACAATTAAAAATGTCAATTTTTTAGAGAAGATAAAGTCTGTTACCTGCTGGTGGAACCGATTCAGACTTTCTACAATATACCAGAATCTAAATGATATCTAACTTTAGATTTAATTCAACTCTTCCTCTGATGCTAAAAAACATCTGTTGACCTTTTAGAAGCGACTATTACATTTATATCTCAATTTTTTGCAAATAAACAGTACATTCTACGAATAAGCGTCTAACTGTCTAACATGTTCCAGAATTTATCAGATAAAATTGTTTAGCTATCCTGAATGTTCACAAACACCTAAAACCATCATTTGTGAGACAAATGCTTCTCCACCAGAGGAGCTTCAGAGCAACAGAAATTAGTTTTTAAGGAGTCAGCCAGAGTGTGTGTGTGTGGGGGGGGGGGTTCTCACCTCAGGCCACTTCTCTTGAATGACGTCGATGATGTCATCTGTAAAATCTCCCTGAATGATAATCTCATCCTCTGCCGTCACAGAGGCGCCGCAGGAGAATTTCTGGGCGAAGAACCGCTGCGCCTCTTTAAGCTCGATATCTGCGGGAATGGGCAGCGTTTAGAGCGCGGAAACGTTCAGAGGATGATAAACGGGGACACGGCGCTCACCGAAAGTCGCCAGGCCGCACACCCGCGTCACGTATTTCTTCTTGGCTCTCGGGATTTTTGCTATTGTGACTTTCTGAGGCACCGTCTTCTTCTTCTGTTTGATCTGGCCTCTCCCACCTGAGAAGACCAGAGGAAGAAACCCAAGTCTCAAAAACAGAGAAAACCAGCGGACGCTTCATTTTATGCGATAATGAAATCACATAATTGACAGCCCAATTCTGGCTGTCCAGACTGAAAGACTAGACTTTAAAAAGCTACAGACTCTCTGTGGGCTCCATTCCACATTGAAAAAGTTCTGCTACAGAAATAGAACATGTTTATCCCCAAGATGCCACCACATTTTGAGGCATTTGTTTAAATAAACTCATATTCATCACTATTATCTAAAAATGTTAGTTTTCAAGGAAACTTACAAACATTAAAGGCATAAAATGAATTGGTAAACACTTTGCATCAGAGTTTGGGGTAAAAAAACAACAACCTCTGACTTGGAGGAAAGCGTCTCCACTGGCATAAAAAAAAACATCACCGGGAACAACTAATTAAACAAATTCAAATAACTTAAATGTTGCAAAAAAACGTCTAAAAAACTGAACGTTTCAGACAGGAGTGCAACACAAATCCATAAATGACTGAATCTTGAGGATTTTTCTTCAGATTTCTGGCGACGTACCCCTCTTCTGTTTCTTCTTCTCCTCCTCCTCGCCTGCAGGGGGCGCCTCACCAGTGCCGGACTCCTGCTTTGGGGCGTTGGATGCTGGACCAGTGGGGCAGAAAAGACACAAAACAACATTAAAACCCGTCCAGCCGCAACACTCGCCAACTAAAAGACACGTTTGCTCAACAACTGGGAACCAGAAGGTCTGTGATGAGGTCACCTATTTTAGGTGTTCACTTCAGAAGGGTTTCAAGTGTTCATAATCATTTATTGCTTTTTTTTTTTCTAAGACGGAGGAGTTAAAACCTTGCAGAGGTACCGATAAATGTTTTTGAAATATTGACACTCACCTACAGTCATCCTGGCAAAAATATCTGGAAAGTTCTTCTCAAGCCACTGCCTGCATTTGGCTGGCTCGGGCATGTACTCACAATACTGAGGACAAAACGGAGCAGGTTATTTAAATCTCTGCACTGAAAATAAGTCAAGACAGCTTATTTACTGTAAACTAGGTTCCAAAAAAAGAAAACATACATACCTCTGTGGGAAGGGAGCACACTGTGGAAACAAAAGACAGAGACTCAGGTAAAAGAAATAAAAATAAACCATCAGAAATGTTCAGAATAAACAAGTTTTTTAAACAATACCTCCACAATAAAGAACCTTCAGTGGGTATTTCGAATCAGGGTCTGCGGTTCCATGCTCTGATCTGCTTTCAGAAGACCCAGATTCTATCTCAGTAGTAGCCATCACAAAATTTCTGGACAAGAGAGAAAGAAATGACAGGAAAATTTACGAGAGGGTTATTAGGGTGTGACTTTTCATCAGATTCCAGTTCTACTTAATTTATTCAAATCACACAAACATATTAAGCACATGAGAAACAGATTCATAATACTTTGCTCTTCCCTTTACATGCCGCCTGCCTGTCTTCTAAACCCTATTTATTAAATGGGGTGCCAAAATAACATGACATACCATTTCCTTTTTAAATGACAAACGCAATGGTGTATTTATTTCTGTTGGTTCGTCAGCTACAGGAGCTTTGATTCAAACATGCACAGATCTTCATTGTATGCAGAATAAGTTTAGTGGAAGGGCCAAAAGGGCTCGGCTGGTTGGTAATTTTGTAAAGCAAAGACTTAGTGAAAAAGTTGTGGGACAGGCTTAATAAAAAATATAAATACATATCAGAGAAGAAAGGAAAAAGAAATAGAAGATGAAGCTGAAAATAAATAGATGGACGGACTCCAACAGCTTAATATAATATTAAATGAGAAACGTGACGAAATCTGATGAAATCTGACACTGAAGCAGCTATAAATGAACAAAGCTACTGAGGTTTCATCATGCTAGTCTGCAAAGACAACTCATCCTTTACTTTAACCAGGATTCAAATGTAAAAGGAGTTTAGACTAGGACACTGATATCTGCAATTTAAGATGTTAATCAATCTGCCTCTCAGAGGTCTAATTCAATACCCAGCTGCAGGGGGGCAGCCCCTATGTGGAGCAAGCTAGCCTTAGCTTGCTAACACATGCGGGTGTTTTATAGTGCATCCGCTATTAAACAGATCCCTTAGTTCCAAAAATCAACACGTAACCTACAATTAATAGACTGGTAGCATTGTGGGCTATATCGTTGAGGAGAGTGGACACAAACTTCGGTAAAACCAAGAAACGCCGGATTTATTTTCAGCAGTTTCATTCACCGGGTTGCGTTGACTCACCAGCTGTCACCGTTAGCTACGGTTAGCACCTCAACTAGCTTAGCGGGCTAGCCCAGCTAACGCTCCGCTAACTGTGAGGTTGAATAAACGGACACGGACACACACTGAGACCTACCCCGCACAACAAACTCTAAAACTGCTGTCTGTTCAGGAGGAGAGCCGGTCGCATTATTAAACGTTAGTTTGACTTTTAGAATATCATTCTTACTGAATATCTCAGGTTTACTTGGCGTACTTTGAGCACGCCTAGTGAAGCTTCTTTAAGTTTTTCTTTTTTTGGTGAGACTGTTGCGCTCTAGCGCCTCCTGGTGGTTCGGAGAGGAAAATGCAAAATAATTTCTTCTTCTATTGTTTCAAATCCAGCTTTGTGGTAATTGAAGCCCTCGTGTGTTCGTGTAACTTTTTGACTTGTTTGTAACGATATCAATTCACGATTAAATATGAGAAACAAACAAATAAATCAATTAAAAACATTTTTTATTGTTAATAATAAAAAATAAATACATTCTCTGGTATTTTAGAACTGTTGAGCGGAGCTTTGCTCTCCAAAATTGGGCTATGAATGTCATAATGAATTAAATTTGTTGTAAAATGACATTAATAACTATGGCAGGTATATGTAATTGATTTTGTTCAATCAAATCATATATTTTGACAAGACCGTATTCAGTGACGCGCCATCCTCCTCCCTACGTCACTGTTTTTAAAAGTTGGCGAAACTGTCCGCGAAGCTAAAGCTAACAGCTGATTTAGTCTAAAAGCTTTTGTAAAAGTTCTGCTCGCGACATTTTTGCTGTAACTTTACAGTCCAAGGGGACATTTACCCCCCCAGTGAGTGCTATCTTTTTGTACGTAAGTTAACTTTGGTGACACCATGTGAGCAGTTGCTATATTGACTTAACGTTAGCACATAGATGTAAGAGCTAAAAACAACCATGAAGGCGATTGTTGAAGAACAAAAATGAGTCCATGGACGGGAGGAGAAGACTGTTTAACTCCAATGGACGTGCGTTTGAAAATGCAGACTGGTCTGAAGGTAAGCAGCTGATGGTGAAAGCTAACTTTATCATTAATAATAACCATATCTGTGCATAGAGGATTCAGATACAAACACCTAACTGTATGTTTCAGATGCCAGTGCTGAACTGTGGCATAGCACTCCTGTTAAAAAGGTGAATCACCGTCCACAGAATAGTACATTGTGGGTGTGGACATCCAGATCAAATCATGATCTTAAGACTGAGTCATCAGAAAGCAAACTTCTGTGTAATTCTGGCTGTTAGATGCAGGTAATGAAATGTTAACTGGATGCTTCTTTTCAGAAAGATGCCTGTGACCATCACCAAGCATTTGGTATAAACGGCTTTGAGATGGACACTTCCACCAGTCGGTGGGGCAGAGGTGCTGCTACACTCCCCGGAGATTCCTGCTGTCCTCACACTGTCCAGGAAACTGAGGTAGACATAGGCGGGAACACAGACGCCACATTTCAACCTGAATTATCTGCTTCTTTTAATAGCAGGGACCCAAAAAGATTCCACTTGACAGCACTAGTCTTCATTTCATCTTAGATTTAAAGTGCAATCAGGCCTCTTCTCTCCCATATTTTGAAAAATTCCATTTGAGTTTGGCTTATAAGAGCTATATTACAACAAATGTGTCATCAAATGTCTCTTTTTAAACTTTCTCCTGTTTATCCAATATGATACAATTATAAAATACATTTGTTTAATAGCATTATAACAAAACGGTTGGATAAAATATTAAATCCACGATAAGACTACATAAATATACATAAAGATCTATGTACACACAAGCCTTAATACAAGCCCCCAAATAAAGAAAAATGGTGGTGAACACTGATGATTGTGTAAACAGTTTGATATCTTTGATTTAATTATAAACATCTATGTGTCTTTTTGTTTTCTTTGGGAAAGCTTCCCATGACAGACCTGAGTGGCTCCACCATCCAGAGGCAGAGGAGGGAGCTCCAGCTGCTGATGACCGAGCTGAAGGACCGAGAGAAGGAGCTGAACGCCATGGCGGCCTCCCACCGTAAGCAGCATCAGATGTGGGAGCAGGACCGCCAGAGGGTGTCCGCGCTGGAGCGAAAGGGCTCTCGTTTGGAAGGTGATCGTTACTGATTAATGCAAAACCCAGCTCTCCTTTTGACTAAATGTGCCCAATATAACAAATCACAAGTGTGCTTTTCCGGGCAGTTTTTTAACTTGAGTCTTTATTAAACCAGGAAGGAAACGGATCAGACCTTCTGCTGTATTAACAAACAAGAAAAGCCCCATTTTTAGCCTCATGTCGGCATCAGAATGGCAAATTATGCTTTAATTTGCACAAATCTCTCCCCTCTGTGGCGTCCCGTCTGATGGTGGCTGGCTTCTGTAAACGTTTGCACAGAGGAGCTGCAGAAGCGAAACGAAGTGATCCGAGTGCTGACCAGGCGGGTGTGGGTGGTGGAGAGCAGAGAGCTGGAGGTGCAGAAGGAGCTCCGCGAAGCCAAGAGGAAAGCTGCCGAGATCGAGGAGACTCAACGGCACGTCGGCCAAAAATGTCGAGACTACGAGGTACAAGTCCGTCCCTCCTTTTCCTCAGAATCAGAATAAGGTTTATTGCCAAGTAGGTTTTTGACTTACAAGGAATTTGCCTTGGTGTTTGGTGCGCAACACTTCTATGAGAAGCAAGGAAATACAATGTAGAAATAAAAATATAGAACAGAAAATATAAAACTAAAAAGTACAATCTTTAAAAATATAGATCTGAGAATAGAAATATGGATAATGGAGAAACCAAAGCCCCTTTTGTCAAATGAATCAGGCTGCTGTTTTTGGCACAAACATAACAGACCCAGGGCCCTAAATTCTGCTTTTACCATGTCATTATTCCCACTTTCTCCTCTAAGATGAGACGAAGACAGTTTTCTATTTCAGGCTTCTCATAAGAATGTGGTTCTAATGTCATTTTTTAGATTGGAAAAGATTGGTCTTATAGCAAAGGGAAACCATAGTAAATTTGATCAGATATGGGGCTCTTTTGTGAATTATTGCAAATCATTGAACATCTTACCATCTTACCAATGTGATTGGACAACCCCCCACCCCACCCCGTTTATTTATTTATTTATTTTAGTATTTCTTTTTCTTTTTTTGTTATTATTATTATTATTTTATTTTATTTTTTATTTTTTTGTGTGTGTTTGTTTGTGTATGTGTGTGTGTGTGTGGGAGTTATTTCTTTGACCACTACAAATGAAACATATTGGGTACTGTATGTAAAAAAACAAAAACATGGAACAGATTCTATACTATTTGTAAATGACTATTATGTTGTTTTTTTCCACAATAAATAAATAAATAAATAAAGAATCCCACCCAAAAAAAAAAAAATAAAGAATGTGGTTCTGTGTTTTTAGGAGCGGAACCAGAGTCTCAGCTCCACGGTCACGGCTCTGTCCACTCAGGTGGGCTCTCTGCAGGTCAGAGAGGAAGAGCTGAGGTCTCTGCTGGAGCTGAAGGTAAGACCAGCCTCGTCCGAGCAACTCTTATAAAATCTGTAAACATGGATGTCTTTGAACCCCCCGCCAGGACAAAGACGTGGCGGAGGCCTCCGGCCGGATTCTGGAGCTGGCGGGGCGGCTTCGAGACCTGGAGGCGGCGCAGAGAGAGAGCCGCTCGCAGGAGGCCAAGCAGCTGAGGGACGGGGAGGAAAGCAAACGCCGTTACAGAGAAGCCAGACAGGAGGCCGCGCTGCTCAAAGGTACTCGGGTAGAAGCTGCTCTGGGGGGGACGGGACTCACTCACTGCCCCTCTTTAACTAGAACCAGATTCACATGTGAGAGCCCTCCTCCACCACAGCAGAGGAAACCGTCTTGGGGAGGCTGAGAAGTGTGATCCCATTAGCTGGAAAAAACTCTATGAATTGTTAAGATCTGCTGCAGATGTCCCCTCGTGAGATGACAAATAGTTATTCTAGTGAAAAGTATTGAGGCATTGACTTTTTAAGACTCATAAAACCAAATAAAGTTAAAGAAAAGTGCAAAATTTAAATGTTTTTCAAAGGATTTCTGTTTAATTGTGCCATTTAAATGTTATTAACGTGTATCTCAAATAACCCCTGTCATTTCAGGGCCTCGATGGGCCTGTTTTAAGGTTGATTTAAAGCCTTTTGAAGCTTTTAATGGCACTGGTCGTATTTTTTTTAGCTCCTCCAGGGCCGCAGCCCTGCAGGTTTGAGATGTTTCCCTGTTTTAACGCACCAAATTTAGATAAAAATAGATCTCTGCCAATAACCGGGGAGTTCTTCCTAGCCTGCCGGCGGCGCATTGATGTTGGTGTTCAAGCAGGGAACGACTAAAACCTGCAGGACAGCGTCTCTCGGGGAGCAGAGATTGAGGACAGACTTCTCCAAAGTTCGCCCGCCTGATCTCTGCTCTCTCCCTTGTTTCGGGCAGAGGAGCTGCAGCAGCAGGTGGCCCAGAGCAGCACCCAGCGGGAGGAGATCATCCGGCTGAAACAGGAGCTCCAGCTGCTGCGCACACACCTGGCCCTCACAGGTGAGCCCCCCCCCCCCCTCTGCCCCCCCGCCCGGCCCTCTCTGAGCCCAGAGACAGTAACCCGGCGTTCGGCCTCTTCCTCCTCCAGGGGAGGGTGACGGCTGGAAGGACGAGCTCCTGGAGCTGTCGCGCTCCAAACAGGAGCGCATCACGTCTGAGCTGCTCTGCCTGCAGCAGGTACACGTTTCAGTTTGTTTCTGACTTTTTATTCATCCATCCGTCCATTTTCTCAAGCTCTTATTCCCAAATGGGGTCTCGGGGGAACCAGGGCCTATCACGGTTTTCAGTGGGCAAGAGGCAGGGTCACCCTGGATTTTATTCACCAGTCCATTTTCTTTTTTTATTTTGAAATGAACAAACAAACAATAGACATGAAGTCATAAGACAAATACTGAAAAGATCATGGAAGAAGTAAAAAGCCTACAAAAGGGGCTCGGAAAACATCCCCAGTGGTGAGATATGACATAACAGAAGTATTCTAAAAGTCCAATCCCAGGTTACCTGAAGTCTGGTTTTACGGTAGAGACAAATGTAATCCACTTTAGTCAATATTCAGTAAATGTCTCTTTTTGTGTGTTCTAAGATTTCCCTTACAAAGATGCTGAACACAATATCTATCCATCCATCCACTCTAGGCGCCTCCCTCTTCAACTATCCCTTTGTTATTGATTTCTTGCAGTAATAATCTCAGTAAATATTTATCTTTGTTCCTCTACTGAATATAAAAAGTTGAAACAGAAAGTTGTTTTTGTCCGACTGGAACATGATCTTTTGGGTTCGGGGTCTAAAAATCTCTGCCTTTGAAAGCACAGCTGAAGGGCCAGCAGCTTTCAGTCCACAAAATAAGGAAAAAAGGAGGACAAACCTGTATTTTCTCATTCCTTCTTCTGGCCCTGTTGTCGGTGGCTTTCTGGTTGGTCCGCATAGCTCAGCTTTTCCTGCTGTTTCCTCTCTGGGTCACTGTCATGGACACAACTCTGTGAAACTCAGAAAGCACCGATCCTAAAAGAGACACCTGAACGTAAAGCTCCTCCTGTGCTTGGTTTGTCCTCATTTCAGATCCCTGACACATTGGGGCTCAGGAGTGTTTTTATTCTTTCCTAAGATCAGATCCACAATGCCACAAACTCTGTAAAAAGTTAGTAGGACCTATAAACTAATGAGGCACCGCTCTAAGAAAATGAAAAAAATCTAAGAAACATATATTTCCTTTGCTCTTTTTCTCTCAGTACAGAAGTGTAAGGGGGGAAAGAAGATACATTTTAGAGCTTAGACGGGCGGTTCAGTGTAAAACTTAGTTTATTTCTCGTGGATAAAAGGCAGGAACACAAACAGATTTTATATGAACATTATAGGAACTGACCCAGCTACGGTGAAGGCTCTGAACATATGAATGGGAAACTGTGATGGACTAAGACTGTCAGCTGGGCACAAGTGGGTCCAGACAAAGGATGGACGTATTAAAAGGAATTGTGACTGTTTATATTAAGGGGTCTCAAACTCCTGGAGGGCCACTTTGCTTCTGGCTTTAGATCTTCCCCTGCTTTAACACACTTCATTCACATGATAGCGCCATTAGCCGATTGTTAAGAACCTCATTTTTCATCTCTTCATCTGTTGAATCTGATTTAAAACCGGCAGGACACCATTTTTATCCTGGAACATTAACTGTAATGAAATGAGCCAAAAACAACAGGTCTGGTGCGTTTTCAGGTGTGTGAGAGTCAGAGAAACGACCTCCAGCTGCTGCGGCTCCACCAGGAAAGTGCACGGCGAGCTCCGAGGGAGGAAACCGGCCAGAGGAAATTCAGCAGGTGAGTCCTGGAGAGCCAGAAAGAAAATGAAGACTTTCAAACTCTTTCTGGGATCAGGAGGATTTCCTACAAAGTCAACCGAACTCAGTCGGGGTTTCTACTTTTTGCTCTTTGAGCAATTTATTTGAAAAGACACAACAGACTTCAGAGGCTGGACAGATATCCAGCTTTAAACTGTGAATTAAAATGTCTTGAGAGTGTAAATTTGGTAAAATAATAGCTGAGACGTTGTGGATTTTTGTGTTTTGCTACTCATTAAACAACAAATGTGTTTTCTGTTTACGCATCCCAGTCATGATGAGTCGACATTTCACTGTGGGGACCGCCGGCCTTCCTCAGAAAGAGGGAGCAGCTTCAGTGGACCGGCCAATGACCACAAAGACCCACGGGGGGCCACATCAGCCCTCGTTCCAGATGTAAGACGCGTCTTACACAAGATGTTTATGCGACTTACAGAGTAGAGAGGACCTACATTGGCCGGGAATCGAACCCAGGTCAACTGCTTGGAAAGCAGCTATGCTAACCATTATACCACCAACCCCCATATCAGAGATATCAAGACATCAGATTTGAGTTAATACTCTGTGTAATTACCGTTCATCTTTACTAAAGAATACGTTCAGCCATGACTCAGTGAAACCGATGTGGGGCCGGTTCTCTGGTTCTAACCACAGGAAACAAAATGAGCCCCCCAGCAGCTCTGATCCTCCATAATGGCTCTGAATAGTCAACAGCTCTTGGTTTTGTGTCCCGGCAGGGTGAGGAGCATCTGTCCAGGTTCTCTCTGCTCCGTTTGTTGGACGAGGCCGGGCTGCTGCTGAATGCAGAGAGCAGCCCCAGAGCCCCCACCTGGCGGACCCCCCCACACCCCCCGGGACCCTCGGTGGGGCAGGTGCATGACGTCTGGTCTTTTTAATGTCTCCATTTGTATCGGCGGGGTGTGGCTTTAAGGGTGTGAAATGCTCCTGCTTTTAGTTTGGGCGTGTCAGACTCATTCTTTTTTCTTCTTTTTTTTTCTTTTTTTCCTCAACAGAGTGGTGAAACTCCTCCCAAAGCCAGCCCCCGTCCTGGTGCCGGCCAGCCCGCCGGTCATGTGGCCGGCTTGATTTAAAACGAATAATCAATTCTCCCTGTGAAAATGCCAGCATTAACTGAACTATGAAGCGCCAAAATGAGAGTAAATCAATGTTATAAACGGAAGGAAGCAAAGGCCATCCAGTGTTTTTATCATATCAGTGATTTTTGTCAGTGTTTTAATCCATGTTTGTATTATCCAATGTAAATCTCACAGACTAACACACTGTGACTGTGTTTTTTTTTATCTTAATGTGTTTAAAGAGCTGCGTTGTGTGGATCGGGTGAGATGTGAAACCTGTCCTACAGGGCTGATGGGTTGTGTGTCCCTGTGTCGTCTTTCCAGTTTCTCTGCCTCCAAATCTGCCCTCTGACGCAGAGAAGCGCCTGAAGTCGTCAGTAGCTTTTACATCTTGTGACTTGAATGTCCTCTTACCACTTTTTGATAAAATATTTTATTTAAACTACGTGTTTGTGAGTTTTTATTTCCAGAATAAGGTATTTAAATGAATCTCTCATTAAATGAAAGGTGTTTTTTTACAGATTTATCAAACTTTTGAGTGAAGAGGAAACTTCTTTGTTTACTTTGCTTTATTAAAGGAAACTCCTGAGTGTTTTGGGTTCAGGGAGCTCCACATCTGACACACCTGAACTCGTTTGATTTTGGAAAAGAAGAAGGAAAGGAGCGGAATCCCTTTGGATTTGTTTAGCACACTTTAAGGAGACAACATGAGCAAAACGAAGAATAAAAGTGAAAATAAGACGGAAAAGGCTTTGGCTGCTGAGAAAGAACAGTTTGGTAAACAGCAGGTAAGTCAATCTCATTTTTCAAACTTGACTTTTGGCCCAATATCCACTATTGGTCATAATCAATCAACTTTCAAGGCAACCTTAAGACACTTTTCCTCTGGTTATGAAGGATTATCAGTGAATGAGCCCCTCAGCTACGACTTTGGTTGATATTTGGATGATTTAAATACCAATACATCTAATTTTCCTTAAAGAGAGGAGGCACTTAAACCTGCTCGCCAACAGGCAGAAAAGTTGGTCCTCTGTTTGAATTATTTTTGATAAACCTGACAGAGATGGTTTCTACTGACCTCATATGTTCACATATGAGTCACAAAATCCAAAGGACTGTAGAGAAGGCAGATGGATTTCTTTTTCAGCTTTAATTCAGAAGTGCCATACCATTTGGAACCAAAAAAGCCAGTTTTTTAAAAGATTAAACATGAATATAAAGTCAAGTAACCTTTTTTGAAGCTTTTCGGATTAATATGATCTGTATGACTGAGAATTTAAATCAACAATTACAAAAGCTGCTAATTAATAGTGTAAAATCTGCGTGAAAATATTAAGTTGAATATTTTAACTGGAATAACATCAACAAGTGAGAATAAGTCTTTTTTCATTTCACTGATGCAAAATGTGTCATCTTATGTTGACTTGAAGGCAGTTTGAGCAGTTTTCTTTGTCCTGATTTCTTTCAGCTCCACTGCATCAGTAAAATAACCAAATCTGGTGAGGTGCCACCCAAGGAGAAATATGTGCGCAGTATCCTTTAAACATTTAACAATTGGTCCTTTTGTGTCTCAAACTGTTGAAAAACACAGATATTATACTGGTGAACTACTAAAGTCCAGCTCAGCTGTTTAAGCTAAGCTAACGTGCTAACAGCTTATTAGCATGCTAGTATCTGGGGTTTTAGAAAAGCACAATTCGGTGTATATGGCTTAATTTTTGGATACTTTTCAATTAGAAAAAATGTCCTTTATTTTAAAAAGCCAACCGAAGAAAAATAAGTGATTTAATCTTTTAAAAACAAAGACTAAATAGGACCACTGATTAGCACAATTCATCATCAGGAAAGCTTTAAAGCACTTCATGTTGCTGCATGTGTTTCTTAAGATAAAAAGATATTCAGCTATGTAGCTTGATATCTTCAATAGCTGTCAGAGTGAGCAGCATCTCAGGCTTTAGACTTTAGACTTCTCCTTAACAGCTGTGAAGGCATCATCCTGGGATCTCACAAAGAAGGTGGAGCCACCACCTTCTGGTCCTACACCGTGAATTTGCCTCTGTCCAGCCACTCCATGGTCAGCTGGAAGGCTTGCTACCTCCTGCACAAACTTCTCAGGGAGGGACACAAAAACGTAAGTCAGATTTCTGTTTTCTCGTGACCCCCCCTGTTGTGACGGCGCTTTGTGACCTCCATCACCTCCCTCTGATCTGCAGGCGGTGGTAGACTCTCACAGGCACAGCCGGGCCATCAGAGACATGGGCGTCCTGTGGGTGAGTCCATCTGAAGGGAATAGTCACTCTTTATTTTAAAAAACACTTTTCCACTAGTGTTGAACACTGATTCCTTCACTTGGATACTCATTTTTATGTGATCCTTTCTCCATTTGTCTATACATAGCTGTTTCTGGATTTAAATACAAAGTCTGTGCATGTATAAAGTAGTCTAATATTTTTTAAACTAACTGTCTTTTATTGATTTCTTCCCCCAGGGAAACTTGCATGATCGATACGGTCACATTGTTGCCTTGTATGCCAAATTCCTCCACCTTAAAATGGAGTTTCATGCAAAGGTAACGCATATATTTATGTTGTTTTTTGTTTTCCTTTTTGTTATTCTTATATCATTAAGTTAGTTTTCATTTCTGCTTTTTTCCTGTTGCATTTAGGGACTAAAAGAATAAAAAAATCATACAGAAATAAATTTGCATGCGTGAGAAAAATGCTCCCATATTTTTTGGTTTGATTTTCATTCATTGGATAGCCGACATCGCCATCATTAAACCATCACTAAATCTTTTGTCATCACACAATTCAACAAGATTAAAGCTGAATATATTTGCCTTAGATCATAAATGTTTTCAAAATGTAGAGCATGAATACTGAACAAACATACATCATCAATATAAATAAAATGTGGGTGGAGAAACATGCTTTTGTGATGTTCACACACCTTAAAGCGTTTCTGACTCCTCTGCAGCACAAAGTGATCCCGGGCAACCTGGAGGCCAGCGACGAAACTTTGGAGAAGGAAGCAGGAACCGACATGACCAAAGTGTACGTTTCTTTCTCTGACTTCAGCCGTGTTACCGTCTCTCCCCCCGAGTCCGTTTCAAAGTCAGTTTGAAATGTTTTGCAGGTTGGACATGACTCAGGAGCTTCTGGATTACTTGGATGCTGGACTGAAAATGGCTGAGACTGGTGGGTGCATCGTCTTATATCCATTTTGATTTGAATTTAGTGAATAGTTTCCAGTATTTGTGGGGTTTTGGGGTTCTCTTATTGAGTTCATTCCCACAGCCAGTACTGGCATGGTTACTGAAGGCCACACTTCAACCCAACAAACTGGAATTACACACAGTAATTAATATTTCCTCCTTTGGAACAACATCTTTGCAACAGGAAATGATAAAAGAATACAGGACATATATACACATCCACAAAGATCTTTTAGCTCTGACACATTTCATGAATGAGTGCAGCCCAACATCCTAATGGCTAATAAAAATTTTGAATAATAACTATTTAGATCAAAAACATAAATAAAAAAGGAGGATAAAATCATATGTTTCAAAGTAATGCAAAATACCCAATAAGGACATTTCTATGAATAACAAAAAATCAAATAATTAAGGTGCTCTAGTTGGATTTCCCCTTTAAAAGATAAGGAGAAAATCTCTGTAAGATTAAAAAAAACTTCCCAGAAATATATTAAGGAGAGCACACACTTGGTTTAGAGCTATAAAAAACACAAACACTCTAAATGCAATTTGCTTAATACATTATAAGCTTGTGCATTTTGTCTTTTTACTGTGTTTTTAGCAGCTATCAGACAGCAAATAAAAAAACAAGTGTTGTGAACTTTTCCGGTGTATTTTGTGCTCTTCTTGTTTGAAGTTCTGCGGCAGCTGGACGCCAACGGGGCCAAATCCACGACCCCGGCTGGCCAGTGCCGGCTGACCCCCCTCATCCCCCTCATCCTGGACAGCAGCTTCCTGTACCACTTCTCTGTCCGGCTGCTGTTCAAACTTCACAGCCGTGAGTGGAGTAAAACGTGCACTTTTGATCGGAAGATGCTCCGACGGGGCTCTGAAGGCACCGTGACCTCTGCCTTGCAGGTATCCCGGCAGATGTTCTTCTCGGCCATCGGGAGCGATTTCGGGACCTCTTCGTGAGGTAGTTGGCCTCAAAACGCAAAATGGAGTACAAATGTTGTACCGAACGTCTTTAATTTGCCGTTGTGTTGTCTTTTGCAGCCTCAGGCAGTTCTTCGAGAGAGCCAGAGAGATGGAGTTCTTTAAAAGCGTCATCCAGATCCCAGACCTCCCAGATGTAAATGACACCGCCGGGGTTTCTGTAGACTTAGACTTAGACTTAGAATTTCTTTATTGTCATTGTACAAAAAACACAAGGTGAATCTTGACAACGAAATGTCGATTACTTGGCTACCAGTGTGACAGAGCTGAGACCTTATTCCTACTTAATAAATATGTTTTCTATAACTAAGAGCTAGATATATACAGGGTAAGAGCATATATATACATGTTATTGCACAGAGTTGTTACAAAAGAAACATCAATGAATATTGCAATATTGAGTTGATTGCAAAAAGAAACAATTGAGTTGAAGACAAAGCTAAACTAAGGTGCGTGTATTGTCCACGTCCATGGGGGGAGGTTTTAGTGTGTGTGTGTGTGTGTGTGTGTGTGTGTGTGTGTGTGTGTGTGTGTGTGTGTGTGTGTGGGGAAGGAGGTAGCTCCTCCCACAGCTGAATACGCTCATTAAAAGAGCCTCTCCTCGTATGTTCTCTTCACCCGATCGCCACAGGCTCCTCCAAACTTCCTCCGAGCTGCCGCCTTGGCCGAGTACAAAAAGCCGGTGGTGGTGATGCCCAGCGAGGACCGCGAGGAGGAGGAGGAAGTGGAGCCCCAGCCGGAGTTCAGAGAGGCTCCTCAGATGCCACAGGTGCGCCTAAAATCTAATGGAACACTCCCTTTTGTGTGTGATCCCTGCTTACAGTGAGATCTTTCTCCTGGCAGTACTATTTGCTCAGCCAAATGGGAGTTCCTGAAGCCCCTCTGGAGCAGAGAGACACCGAGAATGTGAATTTGAAGAGGGAACTCGAGGTGTTGAAACCAGAGCTGCAGCTCATCAAGAGTGAGGT